AACATTAATGCAAACAGCTAATGGAATAAATGAATTTCATCAGATATGCTTACATATGTAATTCTGGTTTACTTATATGATATCAAATTTGATTTAAGTATTGAATTTATTTATTTGATTTAAACCATTTGAGGAAGTGGTTTCCTTCTCCCTCGTTGAAAATGTGCAGTTTTAACCCATGGCAACAGATCCCATCCTACTCTATTTTCACATTCGTGCACTAATATTACTGAAAGCCAAAGCTCATGTGCCTTGTGCCACAGACAGCTAAAATGAGGATAAAATGCCTGCTTGATAGGATGTGCCACATGAAAAGAAGTAAGGCAGCACAAAAATGCTAGCAGGTTATTAACAGCCTCTGCACTTCATTACGTTTTATGTGGAGATCTGTGCCTGAATTTCACTGTGCAACGTTATTCCTAAGGTTCTTTCTTAACAGCTGAGCCCCCGATGACCAGAAGTGTCAAGCAAGGTACAAACCTCGTATGAATGAATGTGGTTTAAAATTGCCCTACTGAATTTACAGAAACAGGAGCCTTATAGGCAAATCTTCATTATAGCAGCTGCTCACAATATAGATGCACTGTCCTTGTGTCAGTACACGTGGCTGTGTCTATAGATATCAGCCAGAGTCGACTCTCACTGCCACGGTGGTTTTGAATATCAGAGCTATAGAGCCTGGTAATGGTGCCTGAGGCAGGTTACAGCACAGGGGGGTGAAGTTGCTGTAGGTTTTGTCTTTAGTCTTCGTACACTTGAAAGTAAATTTCATGCTGAGAAACAGAAGTGCCATCTCTATGCATGTCTTGTATGTAAGCTGCAAATTCTGACCATGAGGCAGTCATCTGCTTTTCATAAACATTGTGCCTGTACTGTAAAATAGTTTTTGACATGTGATGTGAGATGGTAGGATAATCCAGAGCTAAAATGAAAACAGCATCCTTAAATTCAGCTGACGTGCTGTTAGATTTTAAGACATCTGCCTTTCCCGTATCCCTTCCAGATTCCCCGTGAGTTTTTATTTCAGCCTGCTTTCAGAGAAAGATGAAATTGCACCATCCATCTGTCAATGTATCTATCTCTCTGCCAGTCTCTTTCAAATCACTTTTCATCTTTTTGGCCAATTGTAATAACATTAGAAAAAGGTGCAGTCTTAAAGTTAATTCATTCCCTTTAGGTTTCCTAAAATGTGTTTGTGGGACAGGAGAGAAAAGGACTGTCCTCTGCCTGGCACCTCTTTGCAGAGGACACAGGGGAGGCCAGGATACAAGAGAGATGATGGGCCTCTGGGGAACCAGGAGTAATTCTGCTGTCCGTGGAAGTGGCTTTTCTAGATGTGGTTGTATTTAGTGCAGTAAAAGAGTGAGAAGGAAAGAATCAAAAAAGAAGAGAAATAATAACATATATATAAAATACTCCCTTGAATTTCCTTTTTTTCCAACTGATACCTGGCTGTCAAAGATGGAGAAAACTTCTAAGCTATATCTTGGAGTGAGACAGAAGACAGAAGTTTAGTATGATGTGTGCAATTGCTGTCTCCTTAGTAAAGCTGCGAATTCATTGCAAAATGTAAGACAAGATTTTTTTTTTTAAGCAGTACATTACCATGAATGTTGTATCCTAGGGCATCCTGAAGCTCCATGAATGTATTTCCTTGAGCTCCAAACTGCAGCAGCTCCAAAGAAACAGTCACGCTTGCCGGAGAGACTACAAGGTTGGTTCTGTTCTCTGCTTCGGATACACGCCGGTAGAGATTGATGGCAAATTCAGTCTTCAGCTCTTTCAGCTCATCATAGGAGATGCAGTTTCCTTTGGTTAAGCAGCAAGCAGACAGGATAAATGCAGAGAAGAAAATGGGCAACATGAAGGCGAGCTGGGAGCACTCTCCACCAGATAATCAAACCTGCAATTAATAATAAAGATATATTTAGAAGAGCAATAGGCTGAGCTGACAGAGGAACCTTTTCTTTCCATCAGTGATATCACTTGCAATAGCATTGATCACTGTTAAAATACTTGTCCAGGTCTACCCACCAGCTATTGTCATAAAAAAAATGCCAAACCAAAGAGAAAGAGGGACACACTGATGACTGTTGACTGACAAGAACTGAGTTTTCCAGAACGCTATACCCATATAGGATGGTTGGCCATTACAGTGCATGGAGACACCAGAGCCCCTTGATTAAAAGGTTAGCTACCGGCAAGCATGATGGGGCACCTTAGTGTGGTCTCCAAACTGCTGAGCACCCACAGCTTCTTTCTGTCCCCAGCAGAAAGGGGTCACATCCAGCACTCCAAGAAGGAAGGCCACCTCTTGTGAGGTGCAGGTATCGAAGTGGAGGCTTCAGACTGGGCTTTAGGTCCAAGTTTGCAAAAGGCTGCCTTCAAATTTCCCTCCACAGATATTCCTTCTGTGAAATTAATCCCAGTGAAGAAAGGTTCTATTTGCAAAAGGCTCCAGTGCTTGCAGCACAAAATCATTACTTTGGATTTTTAAGGGAAATCAAGCATTGGTCAATGTTCTATTAAGAGACGCTTAGATTCATATTTAAAGGAATAACGCTAAAATGACAGAATAGCTTTCTTTACAGAATTTTGCCTTTTGAACATTGTATGCAAGTGCATTTTAAAAAGTACTGCACCTCCTTTCACTTCAGGATTTCCTACAAATCTTTCTCCATGCCCTTTGCTCTAGAGAGTACCTCTAATGCCTTGTATTTACTCACAGTTAGCTCTGTTAAATTGTCTTGCCTTTCTGTGTCCTTCTGGGTGTCTGAATGGAAGCTGTCTATGTACGTCTCGTCTCCTTCTTTAATAGGTAGTGGAGTAAAGACTAAGTCATGAGACTGCATTTAAAGGGATAGTCAGTGATCAGAGTCTCTGTCGGCGATGTCTGTACCACTCTGTCCAAATTCCTGTAGGCTACAAGCTCTATGGAGAGCCAGGCAAAGCAGCATGCCACTGACCAGCAAATCCAAGGCAAGGAACAAAAAGGTACACATGGAGATAGAGTCAGCAACTTCCTTGCGAGCCCTGCTCCAGCCTCATGAGACTTGTGACCTGCTGGTACCGAGCAAGGCATCTCCTATCTCTCTTCCCACCCCCCTCCTTCTTTTATATGAATTCCATTGATTCCTCTGCCACAAAGGGGAAGAGAAAGGGCTCTCTGTGTACCAGGCACACAGCTATTTTTTTTTCCCCCCACTTTGAAACCTTATTCAGAAATCCCATGCAATTAAAATGTCTTTATTCACCTTTTTTTTTTTTTTTTTTACACCATCCCAAATAGCACGATTTTCATTCACTCTTTAGTTTCCAGGAGGGAAGAAACAACAAAATGGTGCACTTGAAGGAGATGGAATGAGGAAGGGGTCGCTTTGAAGGAACCAGAAGCAGAAGATCTGTGGTTGTGACTGCTTTAAAAGCAGTTGCAGCTGTTCATGGCTTTCTTCATGTGACAGGATCAAATCCTGACTGTCACACAGGTTCAGCCTCACAGCTTCACAATGGCACCCAAGGCAAGCAAAGTTTCAGCTTAAAAATGTGTGTAAAATTCCAACTTACTCATCTTCATAGAGTTTAACATTATATATACACTTAGCTGTTTTACCTCATACATTCCAGTTGCAGCTGGGAAATAGACATGGGGAAAATGTTCATTACAATCAAGCTATAGTGTGTAGGTGCTCCTGTTTCATCCTTACAGGGGAGCCACATAGTTGAATTAGGGCCCAGATGAGAATGAAGCAATGAGTCTCCCTTCATCTGCACTTGTGCTGTTCCTCTCTTTCTGCTGTTCTGAGAAGATGACAGAACAGACATTGATTCTGACGGTCTAGCTTGGAATCCTGGTGTTTAG